TGCTCCTGGGAATCCTTAAAATTGAGAATTAGGGATCTGAAACTGAGACCTGAAACAGCCATCAGCGTCAGTTTTTTCCCCCATAAAGGTAAACAGAGGTGCCACATAGCTGGGTGTGTGGGACCCCTTGGAGCTCTGTTGAGCAGATTGAGGTCCCCTCATGAGATCATTTCATGATAAAATTAGGGGTTAGTAATGAACTTAACTCAGATGTAGGTGCAGAAGACCAACACTAAATCCCAGGGACAGGTTCTGCTGCAGCTCAACACCACATTATAGATTAAAACACTTAGGAAATATTTCCTAGAAAGTTCCCTTGCTTTGAAAACAATACTCAGGACATTTCACAAATGACCCAAAATAAGAGAATTTTCTCTGGCTTTAGTCCATCACAGCAGCCAGGGCTGTGTTGGTTCCCAAAAAGCTCATGGACACAAGCTGCCCATTCTCATTATTATCACTGCTTTATTTGCATGTTTCTCTCCAAAGATTAGCTTAGGACACATTTCCTCTGTCCTGTCAACATCCATGTACTTGGAGAAAATTTCATATTTACATAGGAAAAAAAGATAGGTTTGCAATGGCCATTCTGAATGAAAGAAAATTTACTGATGGAAAACCTTTCTTTTGAGTGCCTTACCATTCAAAACAATAGTTGTGTGTCAGAACTGGTTCTTTCCTTTGGGAAAAATTTTAATACAGCTCAAATATTTGTGGCAAAATGTAGCCTGTCCCTGGACACTGAGAGTTCCCAGATGGTACTGAATGCTCACGTCAGGAAGCCAATTCCTTCTTTGTAGTTTGCTTGGTGCTAATGTGTATTTTTTATCAGGCATTTCTTCGGTGCTAATTCATTTGACTTCAAATAGGCTGCTGACACCAGCCAGTGGGGTAGGAAATGGATATAAAGGTGGAACCAATCTGGGAAGGGAGAGTGATCAGGGCACTGGGCTCTGCTGGCAACTCGGTGCTAGGCACAGACAGAACCTGACACCCAAAAGAAAGCATTTAATCCCACTGATGCTGAGTGGAACGGACAGCACAGAGCAGCTGCAAGCAAATTTCACTTTCTTTAATCCTGTGTTCCTGCTTAGCATCCCCTTTAAGAGAAGGATGGGCTGGGGGAGATGTCTATGATCTGTCTGAAGAGATGACAGGCAAGAGGAGGCTTCGGGGGGTTGCTGAAGGACAGACACTGTGGGCAGGGAAACACAAATGCCAGCCCATTCACCAGTTGTCCTCAGCACAACAGCTCAGGCAACCAAAAATCACCACAGAGATTTAATTCCCACTGTTCTGGTCTGCTTTCCCAAATACCAGTGCTGGGAGAACAAGGCATTCAAATGAGATCATCCTGTAATACTCAAATGCAGCAAAAACCCTCGTTCTCTGAGTTTTGCACTTTCTGGTTCAGGCTTAGAAGTGGAAAAGTGTCAAAAAGCACTTTACCTCACTTTTCCCAGTTGTTTGACTCAATTTAATGAAAATCCCTCATGGCTGAAGGGCCTATTTCACGCAGTGAGTCGAACCCACACGGAGAGGCCACAGGGCCCCCTAAGAAAGGTCACATTTGGGTGTGATACAGAGCCCTGAGAGCTCTGGGAAGCATCTCAGTTATAGGAGGACTTGGGAGAGACTGCTGCAGAGTCCAGCTGAATTTTCCAAGCAGAAACCCCTCAGGACAGGTCCTTCCTCAGGTCTGGAATCTGGAAAACACTTGCCTTATTCACATTCCCTTCAAATGACCTGCAAGATCTGGCTCCAAGGCTTACCTCTCCCTTAGATTTTATTTCTCCCCCAGAAAGAGAAGTTAAGAGAGTTCAGGAAATGTTTTTTATTTTGAACATGGTTCTATTTCCCCATTTATGACAGGAATTCTGTATGCAAAGCCAATGCTGTATCTGTAAATACGTTTTCTTTACTGAATTTGATGGGATAACTCAACATTTCCTGATCTGGCCCAAGTCCATCCTTCAAAATATCATTTTCCTTGCAGCTCTCTGGGTTTGAGGTTCTTTTCTTTCTGTTTTCCAAGGGACAAGGGTGAAACACTGAAACCTGAACCAGACACAGTTCTGAGACCTGCTGGTGTCAAAGCGGTTTGGCATTAGGTTTGTACAAAGATTACTGCAATCAGTGTTTACTGACTGCCGTGCATGTTGGATCCTTGAACTCAGGATGCTTTTTTCCGAAGGAAGCTGTTTAGGGCTCTTTACTGCTGGTAGGAAACAAAAAGGGAGCTGCAGTGGTGAATTATTGGCATGACATTACTCCTGGGACCCCAAAAAAGAAATCCTATTAAAGAGAGTCCTTGTGATCTCATCGCTGTGTATTTCATGACTCTTCAAGAGGCTCTGCTAAAGTCATTCCCAGAAAACTTCCCCTGGAAAGGCTCAGGGGAGAAAGGGGCTGGATCACCCTCTGGTCTGTTTACCATTTACTGCTTCTGGAAGCAAAAGAGATTTTTTCCTACAAGCAGCTCCACTGTGTAAAGAAGCCTGGAGACTCCAGGAGGAGAAAGCCAAGGCAGCCAGGATGCAATATTTCACAGCTTGGCGCTTCATGGGGAGCCCTTTGGTCACAGTGCACCTTCACATGTTCCATGGACACTGCTGACACTCTGCCCTCTACAACAATTCTGTTTAATAGACATAGTCAAAAGTCAAAGTGTGAATGAGGACACACCCCATTAAATGCCTGAAATCTTAAATAATCATGAGAATCCCTAAGCAGAGGGTCAGAGAGAGCCATCTCTAAAGTAAGGTCAATTTTAATTTTTATGGAGGAATCCCAAACCAATGCACTCCCCAACAATTAACAGAGAAGTTTTAATGAAGTTTTCCTATACAAAGAGTTCTGTGGATAAGAAACCTGCTCAGTATTGCTGTAATCCCTCTGGATGTTTCCTGTCTGTTACAGACCCTGGTTACTGATCACATTAATTCAGCAATTGTAGGAAATTAATTCCTACCAAGACGTGATCTGGAGTCACTCATCCTTTCTTACTCTATTACCTTTTCTCACTCTTTTCAAGCACATCAGGCAGGATAAATTCAGAATTTTAAAACCACTCTCCTTGCAATTTGCACAGCCAAATTCAAGCCTGGGGTACTCCCAGACCCTAGAAACAGTGTGGGGAAGAACGAACAACAACCTGACCTGAACCTGCCCCAGTGCTCCTTTGAAGGCTCCATTTCAAACCCACAAACCCAATCCATGCAATAAGGAACAGGTTAGTCTGTTGGAACATGAAAATTTAAACAAGTAGCCAAGGATATGTCTCAAAAACACAGTAAGGCAGAGCAGGATGAAAAAGCGAAGAGCTTTTCCAGAAGAGTGACTTCATTTCATTGCCAACTGCTCTGGTATCTTGATGAGAATACAGCAGAGAAATCCAAAAAATTTTATCAAGCTTTATATTCTTTAAATATAATTTTATGTATCAAGCTTTATATTTAATGAAGAAAATCACTCACTGAAGAAAAACTGCAAAGAGAAATATTTAAAGTTAAGATCATGATTAAATTACATTCCATATATATAATCAGCACTATGCTTAAGAGCTACACAAATGCTGCAGCTTTACAGATTGATATCAGCACAAGGGCTTGGGCTTTATTTTACTTTCACACAGTTACAAAGGTAAAAGCCAAGAGAAGCATTTTCAGCTGCTCAGAACTGTTGAATCAGAGCACTGTTCCATACAGCTGTAGATGAAGTCCCCTTTAGAAATAGCTTTTCTTCTGCACATTTGAAAAATAACTGCAATGTTCTGTACAGAACCCTTGACAAATAGAAAAAATCAATTTATTTCTGCCCAAGTTTCCTCTCCCCACGGTCCCAGGCTGAGGCTAGGCTGGAATGGTTCCTCAGAACAGGTATTAGCAAAGAGCTCCTTCCCTTTGTGGGGCTTCCCCTCCTCTCACAACAGAATTCCATGACTGGCACTGAAATGGTGACATCAAGTCAAGAAGAATTTGAATAGTAAAGGAATTTAGTAACCAAACACAGCATTTTCTGCTTTTGGGTTGTTTTTGTCAATACTTAATACTATTAATATCAACATATCAGACATAAAAACTCCCATGTCTCTCCAGTTAAGATTCCAGAGCACTGAGTATCTCTGGCAAACACAACCACACTTCCAGGAAAACAGAAGTAAATTCATATTTATGGTATTTTCAAGACTCAAGTAATATACTTTTTTTAGAAGTGTAAAACAAATAGAAACAGAGAACTCTTAGAGGCTCATAATAAAGAAGCAACTTGGGTCAACCTCAAAAAATAATCAAACACACAAAATTAAGGGGAAGTCTTTTGCAGATCATTTCAACCACAGGTCTGTTCCATGCTGTCTGCACTAAGTCATCATAGTAAAATTCCTCCTTTCATGGAATGAACACAAATTTTACAGATATTGACTCAAACTGTGCTGGATTCCAGCTCCATCACTATCCTCTGCAGAGGGTTAGTACAGGGAAGTGAGAGAAGTTTTCTCTTCATTTGAAAATCAGCCTTTCTCTGCCATTTATATTAAAAGAAGGGACAAAAAGAAGTGCTTTGTGCTGGGAAATACAAAGCAAGATACTCCAGCTATGAAGCAGGGAGCTTCCCAGCTGGACCCAGCTCATACTGGATTTTGCCTGGATTATGCCTCTGCCATGCAGAGCCCTCCAAGTGCACCTCCCATAGTGTGATTTGTGTGAGACATCAGGGTCAGGAAAATTGGGCTTTATCCTTTCCTTGGGATTTTTTTTCTCTTATTTTCTTCCTCTTTTTTTGAGGGGAGACAAATTTCTCAGTGCTGTCAGTCTCGGGGGCGGATGTGGGGAGAGGGAAAAGCAGGAAAGAAAGGATAAGGATATAGTTCACTGGGGTTAGAAAGTCCCAGCAGGACAGAATATTCTTGGGCTGCTCCATAGGCATTGTCTAAAGGGTTTTTCCCTCTGGTAATCTGTTCCTTCCGGTGAGAGGGCTCCATACGTGAGCTTTGCCTGCAGTTCCCTTCCCATCCCATCAGGAAAGATGATATATCCTATATACCTCCTTGATATATGGCAAAGAGCCACCTTCAGTTTGCAATCACCATCCTCAGTCCTGCTCAGATGCTGATTGGAACCTCCTCTGAAGATGTGCATTTTTATTTCCCGGGCTGGGTACAAAGCAGGGAAGCTCCCAGAAGTGAACTTTCGGAAGGATTTAAGCAATGGCTCTAAATTACAGCTGAATGGAGGAACCTTCCATAGAAACCCGGCACTAAATCACCTCTCTGACATCTCTGAGGCCACTGCAAGAGCAGAGGAAGGTGAGATATCATACCAGGAGCAAAAGTTACAAAATATTAAGCTGAGAATTGAGACAAAGGAGGATGACTAAGGAAATAAATGGAAAATTTAATTTGTACAGAACAAACCCTTTGTGAAAATTTCACTACTTGGGGCTGTATTTAGGAGAGGGAAAAAGAGTGAGGAATTCTGCTACTTTTTAAAATAAAGAATTCTTAGCAAGGCTGTCTCATTTTCCAGGATTTTGTCTTGCCCTGCTACCCCACCTCTCATAGGAAAATACAACCAATTGTAGCCTCCACTCTACCTGTTTCCAGCCTGTGGAAGGTACAGAGGAATTTTCTCTTTCAGCTGTTGCAGTGTGAGGAGTGTGATGCTCTCAGGATTATTTCAGCACAGTTCAGACTCTTGTTGCTCCTGTAAATTCTTTTACAGTGTGGCAGGGATTTCTCCAGACTCCCAGAGCTCAGACTGACACCATGATCCTGTATCCAAAGAGAAGGAACTGCTGAGACATTTATTCCAGCTTCACATGACCTCAAATCTCAGCCTAACACTACCAAGGTGCAGGGACTCTCTGATTTTCTGTAAGAAAACACCCCTAGCAGCTCCCAGTGCCCAGAATCCCTGCTGGAATGAGCCCGAAGAACAAGGTCATCCCTGGTAAGGAGAGCGAGGCAGACACAAACTGAAACACCAGATCTGAACTCATGTGACAAATGTGATCCCAAACACTGTTTCATTTCAGCTTCACATCCTTTCTTCTTCCACTGACTCCTGCTCACAGCTGCTCTTATTAGAAACAGTCAAGAGATGTTATTTAAAAAATATATACCTTGAAAAACGCACTGGTTTTCTTTCCCCTTTGTTTTTTTCACATAATGTGCATGCCTTAAAAGATTACCATCAGAATTGTCAGTCACTTCCATGCAATTCCAATTAAACCATCATTAAAAAATGTTCATTTTGTCATTCACTGTTTTCTTGAGAAGCAAAAGCAACAGAGTTTAACTTATAACACATCCAAAATCCATATTTGTACAAGAAATACAATCCATCCATCCTTCCTGACCTGCAACAATTTTGCAATATTGGAAATATTGAAATACCTTAAAATTTGGGAACACATCTATTTGTTAATTTATTATTTAAAATTAGCCAAGCAATTATTATAACCCTTTTCATGACCTCTCGCTAACAAATGACTTGTTATTAACCCTTCAAACTTTCCACACAATTAAAAAATGATTAACAACTGATGAATGGGCTACAATTGAAGAAATTAGGTTGCAATTAAGAAGACATTTAAATGAATGTTTAAAACTACTTGGATTATAATTAGAACCAGATCAACTACGAAGGTCACTTTTGAGTGGTGTTCTCATGGCATCAGAGATAACTCAGCCAATAAAGCTGAATTTAGTGGTCACTATTGGCACTGTTGGTGCATGGCAAAATCCTCCCAAAGGATTAACCGAGCCTGCCAAAGCCAGAGGCTAAGCCTAAAACTGACCCCAGGCTCAGCCCTTAACCTGAGCCTTGTCAGTGTGGATGTTTCAGATGCAAAATTGCTGCATTTCTCTCAAGACCATCTCAGTGTCCCACACAGAAAGGATCTAAGGAATATGATAATATGGGAATAGAAGAGACACCAGAATCCATGGATTTCTCTAGGACACAGCTCCAGAGCCTCTGCTCAGCCAATGCCACCTCAAGGAGCCTCTGCTTCTTGAGCCACCAAAGTGGGGTTTTAGTCATGGTGACAGAGCCCTTCAATGTGAGGTTAAAAGCAAGGGAATTGCACTTGAAGTGCTGGGATTTTTTTTCTTAATTTTAATTTTAATTTTTATTTCTACCATCTGCTTTGCCAATCCCAGCCCTATCTCAAGGCACTCGAAAGGATTGGTTGAACACCAACAGCAACTTCAGGCAGATTTGAAAAATCTCAGACAGGAGTTAAAACTTAACTGACTCTGCACATTAAAAGCTGTCCCTCACTCTAAAAAATTACTATCAATATTTATTCAGTTTATCATCTATGCACACAAAGCCAGTAATTACTAAATTCAAGGCAAGCAAATGGGCTTAAACAAGCTACTACACTTGAAACTACACAACACAACAACTAAGAAACACAAAGAAAACAAACAATTTCAATAAAGTTCTTCAAAAAGTAACCAAGTGCTGTTAGCAGACACAAGAATGTGGTCTGTGTTTGGCTTTGTGGTCATTCCTTGTGGATGTTCCACCTGGCACATTGCCACTGACCAAACATCACCTTTTCCTGCACTCACATTTCCATCACGATTGCTTTTCTCTCCTTCACCCTCGAAAAGAAGCGACATCCCATTTTTAATGAAATTATTACTTCCCAAAACCTCCTCTCCTGTGGCTCCTCTCCCTTTTTCTGCTCTGGGGGACATGCCAGGACTTTCTTTTGCATTTTTCCCAGCTCCCAGGGCCCAGCCAGGCCCCACCAAGCAGCAGGACACACAGCTGTCTGTCCCCACAGCAGTCACCCAAACCCAGCTCCTCACTAGCTACCCAACAGCTCAGGAAGGGTAACACAAGTGGTATTAGGGATTTGTTCTCACCTCAGGATTTCAAGACAGACAGAAGAGCTGAGGAAACACCACCAGAGGCAGCTGCTCACAGGCACTGACCGAGAGGTGGGTGAGCAGCCCACAGCTGCCCCTGGAGCTGCCTTTCCACTGCTTCTGGGAAAGAACTGATCCACAAAACTCCTTGAATCTCACTTACTTCTGGGTTTGGTTTTTGTTTCCTCAGGACACAGGATAAAGGCTCTTGCTTACATTTCAAACCTCCAATACTGAAACATTAATTAGCTCATGACAATGCCTGGTAAGAAAGGACACAAGTGTTGAGGTGATTTCCAGACACTTGGAGCCTATGCTGGAGCTGCACACCCAACACAGCTCGCAGGGAACTCTGCCTGTGTGCTTTGAAAACTGAGGCCTGAAGATGCACACAATGTGTCCAGGGAACTGTACAGCTTCACCTGTACTGAGCTGAATTCAGAGCTTGCTGCAAGTACCACCTCCCATCCTCAGGCTTGTGCCACAAAAATGAAATAGCAGCTGAGGGCGTTTGCCCTCAACAGGAGTTGCAGATTTAAAACAACAGATGAGGCTCAATAAAGGAGCTGCAGACCAGACTGAGGTTTGATCTGGGGAAGATGAATCTTAAAATGGAATAAAGCAAGGGGTGATTTACAAACCAGCACAAATAGGAATTTCCGGAGAAAGTGGAAACCAGTCAGGACAGGAATAATTATGAATTAATTAATTCATGCAGTGGAGGAAGAAAAAAGTTAGTTTGCTAGACAGAAACTCAAACTCTCTGCTGTCCCAGACCTCCTTGAAATAGCATCAGCAGCCCTTCTCTTCCCATATTCATCAAATTGGTTATTAAGCTGCAAAGGGTAGGTGGGAAAAAAGAGTGTGACCCTTTGAGACCAAATCCAGTGCTGATGCAAAGCCTGTGGAGTAGTTCCAGCTTGCACTAGGCCTGAGCTGAGCTCCCACCATGCACTGTCCCTTCTGATGTCAACTTGATGGATTACAACTTCCTAATGCAGGACTGATACATTATGACATCCTAATGTTGGGACGATTGATTGTGACTCTTTTTTAAGTATGGCTTACTAGGCAATTATTGACACCATCCATGCATTAGAGTCCTAATTCAGCACAAAAGAGCTGACAGGCCAGTGCTGGGGGAAAAGATTAACCTATTCCAAATTTTATAGATCAGGGTGAGACAGGGCTTGTTCTGAGACCAGGCCACCCTCCCATTACAGGCCTTCAGAGACAGCAAAACCTAAATAGTTGATGCCACATCTCCAAGAAAATTGCTTTATCCCTTCACCTCTAAGTGGATTCAGACGCTGCCAGTTGACTTGGGAGTGCTTTGGGGTCAGTGCACACACGCCGGAACACAGAGAGGGAAAAAAATCCAAGGAAAGGAAAGAGAGAGGTAAAAGCCAACGCTGTCAGCTCCTACCCTCCAACATCTGTGAATAATGGAAGTGCACAACCCAAGCTGGGAATGGGGAGGTGAAGGGAGAAGAGGATGGCTGTAACAGTGACAAACAAGTCTAAGGGGACTTTTCTGCTCTCAAATGTCACTGGGGGAAGCAGACAGGAGACGGGGGAGGTAAGGAAGAGAGAAGGTCACGGCTGTAATACCCAGAGAGAGTGGACAATCAAATGTTTGCAGCTGGGCTAGGAAATGGCAATCCAGTTGCAGAGCACATCTGGCTCCCTTGCTGCGCCACGGGGCCACCTGTTTTTAATCATGCTGGGATCACCTTTGAAAAACAGAACTTAATCATAGGCCTAGTCCTAGCAATAGTGTTACATCCAGACTTCTCTCCAGGGGAGCAGAGGCCAGGAAGGGGGGAGAAGATGAGTTAAAAAAAAAATTTGCTCAATCAAGCCTGAAACTTTGTCAACAATTTCCTCTTTGTCAGGTTAAAGGGAGTCACTTTTGATTTTCTACCACTTTGCATTTGATTCCTGCTTAGCTTACACTTTCCTTATTGTTATTTGGACAGGTCACATGTGTGGGTGCTAATGAGCACAGCAAGTCGAGAAGCAGCTATTTAAGGAGTCACTGTCTTTCCCCCACCTCATCCCACCACAGAAATGGACTTTGGATTACAATGCCCTTTCCTGGATGGTCTTCATGAACCCAGCTGGGAATGCCACGAGGACAAGCCTCCCTTGGCTCAGGAAAGGCCAAACAACCTCATCCTTCACCTTAAGAATGAAAACAAAAGTCTGCCCAATCCACCTCAGATGGAGGTAGCAGACATGAGGCTCAGAGCAGCAAAAACAGCATCTCTTTACCCAGACCCTTGATAAATGGTGGAACTCACTGCCATGAGTTTGATAGACAATCAAAGTTTACACAGATACAGAGGAGGTCAGAAAAGAGGGAGAGAATGAAGGGATCAATTTTGACACCAGAGCATCCAAGAGACAGAGACAAAGGTACTGGAACCACAAAGTTCATTAACAAAATCAAACTTTGAATTCCTGCTGATAAGTTGCTGGAGGTAAAAAGCAGCTTCATGAACTGCAGGTTCATAGAGCCAAGGTTTCAGCCTGGTTTCCTTCCTTTCATATATGAGGAAAACTGAAGTTATTTCTAGGTAACTTTTGCTTGAAGAAGGAGATGATCTTGAAGATTTCTTGAAACCCAATCCAAACCCATTCTACGATTGTAGTTAAAAAAGAAAAAAGAGAAATGCAAATAAAGATTCTTCAGTCTTGCAGACACACCCTCACAAATCCTCAGTCCAGTTCCTCAGAGCTCAGTCTGGACTGCAGGACTGAAGATCCAAGTGTGTAGAGACACTTCACACCTTCTGTTAATGCAAAGGAAACCTCAAACCTTCAGCCTCACTTACCAAATATTTCAAATAAGTAACCTTTCTGTTAGGGGTAAAATCAGATCATGG